CTCCGAAATTTGTATCGAATTAAACACTGGTTGGACAGATCAACCATAGAAACTTTAGTGCATGCATTTGTTACGTCTCGTTTAGATTACTGTAACAGCTTGTTGTATAAAATACCCGACAAATCAATAGCTATTTTGCAGTCGGTTCAGAATAGAGCTGCAAAGTTGGTTGCCGGTAAATTGAAGTTTGACCACGTTACGCCAATTTTGAATGATCTGCACTGGCTGACAATTGATAAAAGAATAATTTTTAAAATTGGTGTGATTATGTTCAAAGCATTGAATGGAATGTCACCGGATTACATAACTGATAAATTTACCAGAAAAGAATCAACTTCTGGTTTCCATCTTCGATCAGATGATATGAATCTCTTGAGGGTGCCAGTGGCGTTTTTACAGATTGGTTCGCGTGATATTGCAATCGCTGGTCCTACTGTGTGGAACAATCTCCCTGCACCACTAAGAAAGCCTGGGCTTCATCTTCGAGCATTTAAAAAAGATTTAAAGACATTTTTATTTTTGTTGAAATTACATTGAATTCTGTACTACTTGATTTTGTACTATTTTGTTTGTCACGTATATAATTGCTTTATTTTTGAGAGCGCCTGTGAGAACATTTAATGGGCGCTCTAGAAGTTATCCTTAATAATAATAATAATAAATAATTCAACAAATTATATAACGCCACAACTTGAAAATTACTTTGCAATGATACTAAATTGCTACTATTTGTTTTAGTGTCAAACGGGAATGCAATTGTTCCGAATTTGGATTTGGATTCAAGCCCGAATTCCGAGACACTGGTTTGTATTCACCGAATTTAACATTGAAGATCCGCTCTATGTAGACAGATCCGTGGTTAACAAACAGAAAATAATTAGATCATATGTGAAGGAGTTAAATATATAAACTTTTAGTTAAATAAATAATAATCTATTTGTACTTTAGTTTATTATTGCAGATACTACTTACTAGCACATTAGCATTAAATAATATTGACTGACTCCGTCAGTGAAGTGGAATTTTAGCGACAGTATTTTTTTTTTTAATTCCATTTATTCACAAAAAAAGTGAAAGAGTCAACCTAGCAATAAATGCTTATCTAGGGTTGACTCCCATAAAACAAGAAACAACATAGTAAGTAATCCAAAAAAAACACAATAACATAAATGAGTAAAATAAATGTCTTTTAAATTCTTCAATGTTCTTAAATTTTCACGAATAAACTTAGAAATAAAGCATTGATACATTTAAGCTTAAAAAATGAATAAAATTAAAAATAAAATATTAATACATTTAACTTAAACAATTTAAAAATGTTCTCAACTTCTTTTAAAATTCTGTTAGATTATTAATTAATGTTAAATATTGTGGCAGATTATTCCATTTATAAGGTGCATAATAACAAAAGTTCCTGGATGTTATTTTATTTAAATTCATTAATGGCTTATATATATTAGAATTGTTAGTTCTGTCAATCCTGGGGTTAGGTATAAATTTAATTGTATTAATTAACATTATATCAGTTGTAGATGTTATATTGTTGATAATTTTAAATGTTAATAAAGATGATTTATAGGAATTTATTTCAAAAATTGATAAAATATTATTATTATTAAATATATTGTAATCGGAGTGATTATAATCGATTTAAAATAGAAAATTAATTATCTTTTTTTGTGCGTTAAATAATTTGTTAAGTGTTGAAATGTTTGTATTACCCCATATTAGGTTAGTAAAAGTACCATAGTAAAAATGACTAAAAATTAAATGTTTGTATTACCCCATATTAGGTTAAAGTAAAAATGACTAAAAATTAATGATTGGTAAAGTAGTCTTTTAGTATTATTATTTAAAAAATTTTTAATTCTTATCATTATGCCAAAAATTATATTAATTTTTGTTAGAATTAGTTCGATGTGATCATTAAAGTAAGTTTATTGTCGATGCATACACCCAGAAGTTTAAAGCTATCAACTTTTGTTATGCTCTGTTCATTATTTTCCTCGGTGTTCAATTTTAAAGTTATGTTATGCATAGGTGTATTTCTTTTATTTGGAACAATCATGAATTTTGTTTTTTTTTAAGTTGACAGAGAGTTTATTTAATTTAGACCACTTTTCAATTTTAGAGAGAAATGTTTCAGTTTTGTGAATTAAATCAGGTATGTTATTTGAATTTGTTTGGACACGAATTAGGTTCCAGATACTACGGATCTCAAATCACGGATCCATCAGATTTCTACAGCATACCAAAAATTCACTATTTTAAAAATGTAACGATAGGTTTAATTATTGTTGATTTTTATGTAATTCAAAATAAAAATGACAAATTATTTTTTTTTGCATTTAAAATAAGACATTTGTACTTCCATTTGTATTTATTTTTAGAGTATTAGGTATAGGTACTTGTAGTCGGAAATATTTCCCCTTGTAGGCTACTCGCAACTCAACCTTCCTCATCGTCCTCAAAAAAGTGCTTGAAAATAATCGTTGGTGTTTTATTTGATATTTTTAAATGAATTTAAAATATATTTTTAAAAATCATAATCAAAATATAAAAACTATTATACATATGATTTTTATCGCGTGACATATCACACAAAGGACATATTGTGAATTTGCAATTATGAACATCTAAGTAACGTTGTAAAAGCTAAACGCTACTATTGGATGTGTGTTGCATGCTATATTTATGTTAATGGTTTAATTTGCAAAATTGTAAATATTCATTTGTGATTTTGTAGTTGTTCATTCACCGAACGATCTTTCAGATACAATATAAGGCATATAAGTTCCCAAGCAACAGTATTTTCCACAGTCCGACCAAGTTTTTGTTTGTTATGATTTTGTATTACTAATTTTTAACAAAAAATTCACAAAATATATTTCAAAAAATTACCTTTTTGGATTTTTTGGTTGGTCGGCGTGAGTCATCATGTAGTACCTAGCAAGTGTTTGATCATCACGTAAGATCTCCAGACGGTGCAAATATACCCTACATCATAATGAAGCTCAAATTAAAGTTGCCTATATTTTATTTATTTTGGAAAATTTTGTTTGAATAAATTAAAAATATTTAACGAAACTGTGACTTTGAAAAATTGAAAATAATACTTGAAAAATAATTTTTATTAAAAAACTTAAAAAAACGACATAGAAATAAAAACCGTTTGTACAGATCATCATCTTCCCCACCCCAGCCAAAGTAACTGTTAGAGAAACCGTTAATGGTGTGAAATTGAGCCACTTTGAACGCTTCTACCCCACCAAACATGTTCGAATAGGGCAGTCTGGTGATCATCGAGTTGAAAAAAAGTTGTTTAGATGTGTACTGAATATTTTAGTCCTGTAAGCAAGTACATATTCTTGGTACTGAATTGAAAGTGTAGCTCGTCAGTCAACAAAGTATGATAAACAAAATTGAAGGCCGCATTTATGTCAAATATTATACAATATAATAAATAAAGATAACGGACAAAATATGAAAAGTAAAAATTTCATTCGTTACAAAAGGCGTTTTGTTGATATGAAGATACAGAAAAAATTAAAAGAGTGTGAGAAGTTATTTCACGCCCGTCAAGCATTCATTAGAGACAAGGCATCTCTCGCGAACGCTGTTGATGTTGGCAAAATGTGTGAAACAACAGCATGATAACAATGATTATAACACTGCTTGAAGACAATCTGAATCAAAGAATAAAAAATTTGCTCCGCCGAGAAAGTTTTTTATTTTTATTCGCAGCATTACTTGCTATGTTTCTGTCTCGCAAGAACAACCCATAACAAAATCATCACAAAACGTTACTTTCAAACCACTGTCGAACTTTCTGATGCACTTAATATTCTCTGCAGTGGCGGATCGAAACACAGTTGACGGGGGATTTGAAATAAGTTAACTTTTTGTTAAATTTTACAGGGGGTCAATAAACTCCATAAGTGTTCGCTAGTCTGGTCAAAACCTTTTGATTATCACGCCAATTTTTGGTGCATTTTAAATTAGTTCGGCGTTTTCTTGTCGAAAAACAGAGTTTCAGTGACTTTTAATAGCAATACTGTTCACAGCGGCCCCGGTCCCTTCTAGATCCGCCACTGACTCTATGTCCAATTAGAATTCATGATGGTAGCCTAACCATGCGGGGAGGGTGGCATTTTGTAATTAATCATAAGCAAATTTTAATTCTTTCGTTTTCATTTTCGTATTCACACATAACATATTTTTGAAAATAATATAAGAAACGGATTATCGATTATTGTTGTTAAAAATAAATTCCCCGATCGCTTGATCATCTATCATAATAGAATATTTAGCATCAAAAAAAATAATGTAGATGGCTGGTTGTCGTCAAGAGTTAGATTTCGTTGACCCTCCTTGTGAGAACGCATGAGCCTCAAGTCCACTAATCCACTTAAAATGATCAGTATGTGACTCGCAGCACCTCTAGCCACATTGCTAACACGAAATTCTTGTTGTATTGATCGATTTCACACGCACTTGTTTAAAAGTCTGAAGACGAACTTCAGCGGAGAAGTATGGTTTTCGTTACAGTGGGCAATGTACGCTTCAAATTTATTTTATTTCCAACTTTAATAAAATCATCATTATTATGGCGCTGCCTCCCAAGCAAGCCAAATTAGCATTCAAGAATCACGTGACACTTTTTCTGTAAGAAATTTTAATTTTTAATGAATGCTGAAAGCGCGCGCGTTTTCGAAAATGTTCGAAGCGACTAAAAAATCAAAACTTGCAATTACCAGCCTTTATATTTATGGCTTAAAGGTGAATTTAAAGCTTTGGAACATAAACTCTTGCCCTAACTTTGTGATTCTCGGGTTTAGAGTAAGTATTAGTTTAGTTTTATTACGAATTTTTAAAATAAATTTTAAATAGTAAATTTGTCTACTTAAGCGCCATTTATAAAATGTATGTTGTACACGTCTAGAGCAGGAACATATTACAGTCGAACCTACTACACGTTGGTGTACAACATACTTAATGGACAAAAGACAACATGAGAAAAATGCGTCAAGTCAAATAAAAAAAATAGCTGGGTAGAGCAAAACATTCATTCATCTAACTTGTAATGAAATGAACTGACGGCAGCGGACATGTGCTTAGGCATGTTTTCACACCTTCAGTTAGAGGTTTAAAATTGTTGTCAATTTCATAAAAACGTAATTAACAATGTTAAAAATGTCAAAATCCAAAATGTCAAATATCGGGATTGAAACAAAACCTGTACAAGATTCTGTCATTTTCTGGTAGCAAATCAATATCGTGGAAGATGACGCAATCAACATGTTGAAGTTGTTTGATCTCGGAGAAACCAACGTTCATCAGCATGCCTCTGTTGAACAGCGCGCGGCCAGTCTGCAAACAACAAATATCTACAAGCGAGTCTTTTTCTTTAATGTTGGCAGGATATTGTTGTGATGTTGTTGTAATGTTGTTGCTGTTGTTGTTGTTGCTGCTGTTGTTGTTGTTGCAATGTTTCTTTTTTAATGTTTTTTTGCGGTTGCGATGCAAAGGAAGTTTGAACATTTTATTAAAAAAAGACCCGCACATTTTTGAGCTTCATCACACACGTTAACGACAACATTAAAAAGTTGCTAGCAACTGAAAATGGTATAAAAAAGCTACAAAACAAATCTCAAACATACAATATGTTGGTATACTTGCTGTTTGTTTGTTACTTGAAAATGAAATATAAAGATAAACAACAATGCGAAATGCGGACCTGCTGCATGATGACGATTCTGTAATGAACAAGTTGCCGTTGCAGGAACCAGTGCATGTAGCGTAGAAAGGCCATCAGCTGGTCCGTTCGGTTCCTGTACGGTACTATGATGACAACTTTTTCGTGAGATTGACAACTTTCTGGAGACCAAACTCCGCCTATTTTTAATTTTTTCAAGGAAGTGAGACTGTCTTTGAAGACGAGAATGCGACGGAATTGCAGAGGACCAACTGAATGAAATATAATATGTTGCTGGAATTAACAGTAAAAACATTATACAACTGCTGTAATTTGTCGAAAAACAATCTGAAACTCAAGGAAAGTTACGTTGTCGTGACATGAAAAGAATGCACCTGGTCAATTATACAATCTTGACATCAAACTACAGACATGTTGTATAAACTATATAATATAATGAACCTCTAGTCAAAATAGAATGAAATTTTTATTATAAAACAGGGTAATTTTTAAAAAAGAATATATTGTAAAAGAACTTTGCAACAAAAACTTAATTAAATTAGCGACAACAAACCAAACAATATAAAGTTTCAACAGAAAGATTTTTCACTGTTTAATAACAATCTAACGCAGAACCGTTGTTGGCAACGTTCAGTTAAAACATTACATAACCGCGCAAGGCAAAAGTAAAACAGCATTGGAGGAGGCATTAGCATGAATGCGTTGACATGAATAACACGGCGACACGAGAAGGTTGACGGCTACGGTGCCGCCTGTAATTGTGTGCACTTGTTCATTTGTTATTTATAATAGCAATCACGTGATCCCACATGAAAAGATTCTCGCAAGAACACCAGCAAATGATTTTTTATTCTTTTCGCATACATTTTGTGCCTTTCATTTTGCTCTTTCTTTCTTTTGTTCGACTGGAAAAAGAACACACACTATACTCACTGCTTTAGGATTAAATGAACTGAAATTATATGAATTGTACGTATATCTATAATTATTTTTTCAAATTGGTAGCAAAATTTTTTTATGACTATTTGTTTAAATTCGTTGTGACAAAAACTGCTCTGCAATAACGAACGTCATCACTACTAGTGGCGGCAATAGATATGTAATGACGTTTCTCTACAGTTCTTCAGAAAGAAGAAAGAAATACTTGTAGAAGTTAATAGGGAGCATAGTAACATGAAGAGCCATGTACAGACAAACTTTTGAATGTGAATGCAATCGTTTTCATGCAATCAAAAGAATAAAATATGGCCAAGATTAATTGTTAAGAGTTGGTACAACGAAGAACTTACACTTTTGAACAAAGTAACAACAACCATTTTTTAGATACCCTCGATGAACTTTTAAAAAACTGTTCTCTTCAACATAAGTATTTTTATACCACAAATTAATATCATTCAAGAAAATGTTTATTATTTATAAAAAATATTTTGAAAATGTAAAATTAAAACGCATATAGGCTACATTTTTTCATGTAACTTTACTGAATCATAAAAAACAAAAAATCATTCATTCATTCATTCACTCACTCATTCATTTATTCATACTCGTATATGCTATCGCTTAGACACTCACTTATTTGCTAATTTACCCACTCGATTACTCTTTCATTTTTGCTTTCATTCAACCTCTCATTCACTCAATCATACTCAACCACGCACTCCTTCACTCATTAAATCACTCACCAGGTTACACGCTCACTTATTCATGTATCCATTCGTTAATTCCGTCATTCATTTACTCATCCATACCTTCATTCATTCATTCACGCTAAGAAATGGATTTTTAGACTGACTGCAGAACACCGAATTGACAATTTTGTGATAATTTCAGCTTGCATTTTGTTTTCAACGGATCTAGTCCATATTCACCAGAAGAGTTAAAGTCACAAACATTTAAATGCCGCTTTCTAAGTGTGATGAATCCCAAGCACTAGGATGTACGTTCATACAAATCTTTATCAAATTAAAATAAATTCAAATTTTGATGACTAATAAAAAATATGTAAATATCACATGGCAGTTGTTATAGTTGTCATGTTATAGTTGTTATAGTTGTTATTATACATCTTTTTGGCGTCGGTAGTGATTATGATGATATCACTTTTTGCTATGTTGCTTTTCTCACTTCATTCATACTAAATTCATAAACCTAAAATTTAAATTAATTAATTAATTTGCAGTAATAATTTATAAAAAAATCACTGTTTTTTTTAACATTGTTAAATTAGTAAATTTATATTCCTATATTTAACGAATTTTCAACATTTTGTCATTAAATAATAAATATTATGTAATATCATATCAACTGCTACCGGATATATATAGTATATGACATAAATATATATAAATAATGAATATATATATATATAAATAATGAATATATATATATAAATAATGAATATATATATATAAATAATGAATATATATATATAAATAATGAATATATATATATAAATAATGAATATATATATATATTAATAATGAATATATATATATATATATATATATATATATATATATATATATATATATATATATATATATATATATATATATAT